ATGTCAAAAAAAGGCATAACCGAGGGCTATAAGACTGGGTACTTCTGTGATATATTATAAATACCAGAGAAGGCCTGAGAGAATGTGACGGGGGAGGCGGGGTGAGGGGAGGGGCTGGGAGTAGGTCTTTCCAAACACACTTGTTAGACACATCTGGCAAAAGGAAATGTATAGTGCAAAAATAAATTTCTTCAAGCAACTGTGAAGAAGATGATCAAGATTTCAAATAAAGTCATGGTGGCCGGGGAAGTTGCATGGTGAGAGTAGTGGGGGAGAAAAGGGCTTGCAGGGGGGTTGTGAATGGAAGGGGAGGCTTCAAAAAATATTAAACATTTATTTTTGCCTCTGTGTTAGCAAGGAAATCTTGGCCATAACAGGTGTATTTTTCCTCCCTGGAATGAAGCAGAAGTGAAAACTAAGGAAATTAAACTAAGTCAGGGTTTGGATAGAATATGCATGCTGGGGGGGGGGGGCGGGGGGAACAAAACAAAAAACATAAAGGTCAAGAACCAGCCAATGAGCCCCAAAGCCTTCAGGACCTAGATTTGCAGAAATCATCTGCCTCCAGTCTAAAGGCCTAGGATATAAATGTCCCCTCTCTCCACCCACTGCCCCTCCCCTCCATGTGGAACTAACTCCCAGTGTGGTTTTGATATACTGGCAATTACAAGCATCCATTCCCCCCCCCCCAAAGATATTAGGCACTGGTGGCTACTCCTCCTAAACGTCAGTAGCCTGTTTTCCTTCTGCGAAGGTACAATGGGCACATGCGCACGCCCGTCCAGGCACGTGTGCACATACCACCCTCATTATTCTGACGTGGGGTCCTTTTTATGGCAGTAGACAGAAGCTGGAGTCAAAGCAATTTACGATTCCAAAGCTCACAGTTGAAAAAAATTGTATAAACAGTCCCCAACCAAGAACGTATCAACATTCCCTCGTGACCACTGAGAGGGAGCCCTGTTTGAAAAGAGTATCTTGTTTGGGATACTGGTGAAGTGACAGCCTAGGATTTCTCTCTCATTTTTGATACCTGTTTCCCGAGGACTTATATGTAAATGCAAAACACCTGAAGAATACAGTACTATAATATTGGAAGGATGAGCGTAAGAAAGTTAACTGCAGCTTTATTTGTCCCCTTTCTGGGATTTATTATAGGAACCAACAGAGGAGACTTAAGCAAGAGAAACCCTGGAGCCTCAGTTAGTCATGAGATACCACATTATTTACAAGCAGTTTTTGCTTCCTTTGACACACATCTCTGTTGTCCCATCTCAAGTATTTCAAAAAGTCCTCCAAGAGGAAAATAGGCCATCGAAAAAGACATTGATGTATCCTCCGGCCAGGCCCTCTAGTTTCCAAGATGAGATATCACCATGTTTACCGAAATTTAATCCAGACATCCATAATTTGAGTCCTCCTGCCTGCCCCTGCTCCTGCCACGTACAGAAAATGGAAGGAAAAACTTCCATGAATAAATTTCAACCAGATTTTACATACTGAATTTCCACTTTGGCAATGTTTGGGATGCAAAATTGTGGCCCGAAATGCTGGCCCTCAAAAGATTTTTTTGTTTGATTTTATAAAGGAGGAAAGAAACAATTTCTGTAGTCCAATTGGGTTAAATCTCTCGACTCTCCCTCCTTTCTTCCTTCTCCTAAACAGAACTCATGCAAAGGAGAAGACAAGAGCACTTCCCACTATATTTTTTATTTTACAAAGTGACTTCCATGGAGGAAATAATTTTAAGCCATCAAAATTAATCATTGGGTTTTGTTGTTCTTGCAAGTTGAATCTATTTCTTCTGGTTCTCCCATAGAACACAGGAGTGAAGGCTACAGGCAGAATGTTCTGAATGCTCTGGATGAACCACCCCAAAACTCTGTTTATTTCCCCTTTGATGTAAATAGACATGGATAATCTGGAAGCTTATCCCAAACTAAGTTCTTAAAAAATTTTCTCTGTCTTTAGAGAAGATTTTTTAAAACCAGAAATCCATTCTGCTCATCGTGCATTTGGTTGGCTGTCTTTTTACCCTGTTATAATCAGGCAATCAAGATGTAAAAGGGCACAGAAGGTGTGGGTGGGGAGGTGATGACATTGAGAAAAGGGGTATTTGAAGGGCTTTGCAAGGGAAAGCACATAGAGAGAAGGAAATGGTCAGCGTGAAGGTCATTTTGGGGTCTTCAATATTTTTACAAAATGCAGCTTTGTCATGGAATCCAAATGCCTCTGTATCTGGACATAATACTCGGGTCACCACCAGGCATATGCTGGGGCAGTGAACCAACAGGGAGCAGGAGGCCAGCAGCTAGGATCAGCTTTATCATTCAGGTTTCCACATCTCTGACTTACAGCCAATGTGGTAGGAGAAAGAAGCATAACTTGAAATAAAGAAAACTGTCAGTGGCTTAGAAACACATCAAACTCTGAACCCTGGATCGAGAATGCTTGAGAGGACATCCACAGAAACACCATGCCAGGTTTCTCCTTTCAAATTTGGGATCCCTGGAATGTTAGGAGGTAACCATTTAATTGAGAAAGGGGTTGAATGTGTTTCCAATGTCCATCAAAAAAAAAGCACTGCTAAAAATAACCAGCCCTCTCGGGAGCCAAACACATTCCGATTCTTTCTTGGAAAACCTGTTCACATCAGAGATGATGGACCGTTCATCACCAATCCATTTCCAAAATGAGCGGGGCCACCCCCGCCCACAGCGAGGGCTGGTTATCATTCACAGGTGTCAATCTGGGCTAGAGATGAACAGTTTCAAAGCCATACACTTAGCACCCACCGAATTCTCAGGCCATTTCTCATAGTCAGCATAGGACTGAAGCAAGCAAGCACCATCGTGGTGTTTCAGTTCACCCTGCTCTGAGAAAGGTCAGGAGCAGATTACAAAGGACCTCACTGATACAAGAGAGAGAAGTTAACCAAACATTTCAGACACTGATGAGGACCAAAGGGCCTTTGTTCTGCCACATTCAAATGAGACCACAGATGACAAAGGGGAGCAAACAGCAATGATTACTCTTTTGCATTCTTTGTGTTTTTTTAAACTTTCTTTTTAATAGAGCCTTGCATTGGTCAGTTCAAAAATTAAATTAAGTATTATAAACCCTTAATAATAGCATTTTGAGAGGCAAGAGCAGCTCCAGCTCAGGGGAGAACATGGTAAATCGTGGCAGCCATGGCTCAGGCCATCACTGGCGTGTGCGTGTGTTGGCGCTGGAGGCTGCTACAGAAAGGAAAATGAACGAACCAACAAAATGTGGGGCATCTAAAGTTTCATCTAGTGCACTGACTGGAGGCGCTACAGTTTAATACAGCTGAGGTTCAAGGTCCCTCACACATCCTTTATCCAGAAAGGATGCACCACACATTCAAATATAATCCCATGGGATGCCCTGATGGACTGGCCACAAATACACTCAAAACGCAGTTGAGGACTACGAGATTGTCAGCAAACAGTGCTCCAGAAATTGTTTCTAAGTCATATCTAGTTTTAAATCTTTGGAATAAAACTGATTTTTTAAAATACCCTCCAACTAACATATATATAATTGCCTCCGGCAAATGGACAGAATCTGTTTGTGTATGTCTGTGTGTACGTGTGTGTGTCTGTGTGTTTAGGGTGGGGTTTTTTTTTTTCTTTTTTCTTTTTTTTGTTTTTTTTTTAAATTTTTCTTTTTGGTCTAAGTTGGAAAAAAAAGAAAGAAAAGAAGTAGAAGGAGGAGGAGGAAGAGGAGGAGGAGGAGAAAAAAGAGAAAGAAAATTCTAAGGGCCAGACCTCAAAACGCCCCAAGTGTCCAACTGGCAGCTACAGCATTTGTGATAAGGAGGTTCCTTGACCCTCAGACGAGTAGCTTCAACACTGCAGTGAAAGCAAAGTTTGTAGAAAGCTGGAAACCCAAAAGCCAAGGATCTTGAAGGTTGCTGACATATATGTGTTTGTGTTCCTTAGATTATGATTTCCTTTGAGAGACTTCAGTTTTGCATCCCAAATATGTATGGGGTGGCATTTTAACAGTCAATGAGTCAAACAGTCAAAGGAGGGCAGGAGGGGAGCCAGCTGGTATGAGGAGCAGCAACCATGTGTGGACCAAATGCCATGTTTGTTTGTTAGACGTGTCTTGAAGGGATGGTCCCAGAATATACAAAATATACAGTCTGTCCTAATAACCACCCCGCTTGCTTGCATAGGCCATGTAATGGTCCTAAAGGCAGTCTTTGGAGTTGAGGCCAGTGCCAGCTAGCTAAGAATGCGGGTAGATAGAGACCAATATTGGATGTGTGTGTGGGATGACAGGTGAGGAATGTGAACCCCCTCGGAGTCAGCTTGCAGAGTAGTGTGAGGCTTCTGTTGATCCTGGGTGCTCTAGGTCACAAGGCATGGTGGGTCTAGCCCAAACCCCAAGAAACATCCCAAGAGAGACACCTCCAACCTCCCCTTAAAGTCAACCCTCATTCCCACAATGGCATTTTGAGTGGTGGATTTTAACAAGTGGGTAATATGAGCTCAGTGGGTATGAGAGAGGAAGATAGGATGATGTTTTGTGAAGCCACTAGACTTAGGAGGCATCCTCAGTTTTCCCCACTCCTGGAAAGAGTGATTTTTTTTTTTTTTTTTGGCTTTTTGTCAGGTCAGAACCCAGAGTTAGATTAAATACGCAGCTGCCCTTTGAGACTAGCGACATCTATGCTGTGACTGGTTATAGGGTAGCAATGACACACAGCACAGTGGTTGATCACTACGAGCTGAGGTCATCGGGCCTCAAGGAGGATGAGGGAACTGTGATGTCCCGTCTGATTGGCTGCTTCGAGAGCTGGACATCCAGGTGCTGAGAGAGAAAGAGAGAGGAGTCCTGGAGAGGCTTAGTCCATGGAGAAAAGATAAAACATTTAAGCTTCCAAATAAGCTTTTCAAGTTTCGTTAGCAAAAAACAGAGATTAAAAAGAAAAAATCTAGCACTGGCAAAAAGGTGAGGCTCAAGGGATATACTGTGATTTATCATCAAGGACTTTATTCTCTTGGCCACTTTGCAGTCATGCTAGAAGTTTCCAGAATCCCTAGTGCATATGGTGTGCAAGAGTCAAAAAGTAAGAAAAGAAAACTCCTCCCTTGAGGGTGAAGTCTAGAGAAATGCAGGCCAGAAAGGTGTAAGGTGTTATTCCAGAGTCTGCCGCCGCTAAGGCCGTTGGTACCGACTCGAAAGATCTCAATGGTACTAAGAAGAACCAAAAAACCCATCAACAGTTCTGTGAGGAAGTCTGACGCACGGAATAGTAGGACTTTTCACACACAAAGGACAAATAAACCAAGAGTTAATTTTGGCTACCAAACTGCAATTTGGTTTTCTAGGTCATTTTCCCCCAACTATTTAAAAAGAAACATTAGTGCTACACATTTGCAACTTTAAGCCGGTGTATTCTCCTATCAAGTTGCACTGAGAAGCGAGTTAAATAAGCCCCTCGTACTGCCGTCCACCCGCAGAGACGTCACATCCATTTGCTTTGCTTTCCATTGGCAACAGTGGGAAGAATTCCAATAGCGCTGAAGTAAGCAGCCAGTCTGTCTTGCTGAGTTCACCTGGTTTCCTCCGTCTTCGCCTTCTACCATCTGGCTAGGGCAAGGCATAAGGAATAGACGTATATACTTTAAATATAGTTGAGTGCATGACAGCGTGGATGTGTGTGGGTCTGTGTGTGAGAGGGTGTGTGTGTGTGTGTGTACACAGAGGTTTACAAGTGAGAACTTTCTTCTGCGAGGCAGTGGGTCCCCGCCTGAAGTCCAGCCCCCTGCCTCGGCATTTCCTTCCAACATTGGCCGACGCCATGGCAACTCTGGCCTTTAGGATTTTTAGATATGTCTCTTCATATGGAGGGCAAGATGGTCAGACCTGGAAAAACACCTAGAACATATAGATAACAATGAGGGTATTAGAGAGGTTCACGGAAAGAATTCTACCTTCATCACCCCTTACGCTCAAAAAAAAAAAAAAAATGGCACACATGAAGTGAGTGTGGGAAGGTCAACTCAGGTTTTAGGCGACTTGAGTTCAAATCCTAGCCCTTCCCACAGCTGTGTGACTCTGAGCTCACAGACCTCCCTATGCCTTAATTTCCACTGTCAACTGGGGATAACCCCAGCGCTATTCTTATAGTCTGGTTGTGAGGATTAAACAAAGTGATCTATGCAGAGTACTTAGACAATTACCTGACACCTATTAAGATCTCAATGCACATTAACTATCATGATCATAATTATAATTATTAAATAAGAAGCAAATGTGAATGTACTTTGAAAACATGTGTCATGATCAAATACTATAAATACAGTAAAGAAGAATTAGACTGTGTCATTGAAGAGTGAAACTCTGACATTTTCATCCTTCTGTATCCTTGGTGGTATGGGGCTGTCTTCCTTCTAAGGCTGAAATATGGCCATTGTGATCTGCTAAGTGACAGTCACATGACCCATGGGGCCCCATGAGAGGAAGCTGAGACAGCTGCTGAAATTATTGGAAAAGAGAAGCTCTCTTTCCACTGGGATTGCTAAGTTGCTAAGATATAAGCCTAGAGCTGCTGGTGTTCATATTGCCATTGTGGGAAAGAGCCTGCTTGAGAAGCAAGTGAATGGAAAGAAAAGGAATCCGGGGGATAGGAGGATTAAGAAAGAGCCCCATGACAATGTTTGAGAACCTGGGTCCAGCCAAGCATAACGACAAATCTAATTCTGTTCTTGTTAGTTATCTAAGCTAATGCACACCCCTAGTGTGTGCTAACACCAGTCCAAGTCAAGTTCTCTATCTTATAACTAATAGCGTGGGCATTTCCATATCCTAACAGCCTGTAATCTAAGGTTTTCGCTGAAATCCCAGTTAAGTGAACATGAAAGAGAATCATCATGCCTGACTCTGGTTGTATGAACTCCCTCTGAATTCCCTCTTGAAATTGGCTACTTCTTTACCTATGAGAACATTCCCAGGCTTCCCACCATCCAAATCTCTTGTTAGGATGTTAGCAAGCTGCCCTGCTCAGGTTAGCAGGGTTTCCTGTTCAGAGCAGGATTTCCCTGTGTTTGTTCATTCTTTAAACAAACAAACCAAAAAATCCACCCTGTCCCCTGACCCCAACATTCTCCACACCCTCTGTTTATGTCCATTCCTTAAATAGGTTCACGTGCAGGATAGAACCCCAAGGAAATGAAGCAAAACAGGACAAAGGTACAATGAAAAACACAGAAGAATTGGAAAATTTCAGCAGAATATCACTTAAACCAATAATGTACTGAAAAATAACAATGTTGATTGCAGCCACCTCTTTCAGGCCCTGACTGAGTATGGGCAAGCTATTTGGATAATCCCTTGGAGATAGCAATGAAGGAGATCTGATATGCTATAAAATGGTGATAAGTGTCTTTGGTACACAGGAAAAACCTGCTGGGGATTGAATTTCCAAGGTGCACAACTCTGTCCTGTCCTGGGCACAGCTCAGTACTGCCCACTGCCTGTTTTCTTTCCAGCTCTCCTACTTTCTTTTCTCCTTCTTTCCCTACCTCCTACCTCTCTTTATCCCAAGAACCTAAAGGAAAAAAACCAAGTTGGGAATTTCTCTTTTTAGGTATTTCTTTTTTAAGTTAACATCCTGACAACAACCTATTAAAAAAAAAAAAGAATGCCGTTCTTATTTCAAGTACTAGATGAGATATTCATCAGAAAGTGGCCAGGTCAGGATTTGAACCCTGGAAATCTCAGCTCCAGAATTCATACTCTTAGCCACATCTGCTTTTTTTAGGCTGAGACAACAATCGCTGAGCCATCCATTTAAGGAGTTTGTGGTCCGCAAGCATCTATAGTGAGTGCCCCACACCTGTGGTTATGGGCAGTGACATGGCAAAAGAGAATTAAGGCTGTAGATGAAATAAATTTACTAATCAGCTGGCATTAAAGTAGGGAGGTAATCCTGGGTTCCCTAGGTGGGCCAAAGTCGCCAGAAGGGTTCTTAAAAATGGAAGAGGGGATTGAAGAAGAGGCTCAAAAGATGGCAGCATGAGAAGGATTGAGCAGTTTGGGTGTCAGGAGATAGGGTCATGAGCTAATGAAAAGGAGTTTCCAGGAGCTGAAAAAGCACAGGTTCCAGAATGTAGCCCTACCAATGCCCGGATTTCAGCCCAGAGAGACCCATGTTGGACTTCTAACTCACAGAATGGTAAGGGAGTCAATTTGTAAAGTAAATAAACATGATATGAAATGTGTGGAGATTGGTTACAGTGGCAGTTAGAATGTAACCCAAAGGTTAAGTGGTTGGGCCAGAGCAGTTGAGACCCGAGAGAGACAGTATCGTAGTAGGCACCAGGAATGTTGCCCTTCCAAAAGAGGGCACAGGGACTTGAGATGGTGAGAAGTGAAGAGGTCCTGGCAGTGGGCAAAACCCCTTTGTTTTCTTTTCTATGCCCTGGGAACTTTCAGGAAAATAGCATTCTTGATACAAAACTTTATTTGAAAGCATTGCTCAGTCATGTATGTGTTCACCTTTAGTCTGCCTTTGCCAGTTACTGGGTATCTAGTGATATATGTGCAAGCATCTGACTTTATCCTTCCATCTTTTTCAGGAAAATGAAATAGAAAAAAAATCAAACCAAATCTTTAACTTGATATGAACTGGAACTGAATCAAATGAGCATCAGTGTTTGTTCAAATACTAGGAAATTCATGATGCTTAGAATTAGACCAGGTTCCTTACCATTAAGAGTTTTTTTTTTTTTTAATTTAATACATCAGCAAGATATTTAGTCATGATTAATTTTTATTTATTAATTTATACTTACTGAATTCCTTATAGGAATAGTAAAAGTTAAAAAGTAATAGTTAAAAGTTAATAGATAAACTCACTACCTAGAAACACAGAATCAAATAATTTTAAGGGAAATAGACTTCCAGAGGGTATTTATAACTATACAGCAGCCAGATGACCTTAAATAAGGTTCTTAGTGCCTGAAATCTGTACATTGCAGAGGACTAGTCAAACCTCACAACCACTTCTCTTGCTTATAAAAACGGCACAGTACGGTCACATGGGTATTGACAGCTATCTACCAGGGGACTAATGGGCTGAGATACTGGCTGGCATTTCCTACTACCTATCAGTGCACTGACATAAAGAGCAAAATGCCGCCTCCACACTGCCCAAGAGCTCAGGAAGTACCCTGACAGCAGTGCCCCTGGAATATAACTGCTCACGTGGTAGGATGGTGTTGTGCATATTCCTCTAATGGAAACAGAATCTTATTTACCACCATTAGCAGCCTCATGCTCTATGGGCTGCAAAATGACTCATCCCTCTAGCAACTGGTCACTGTGTGATCTTCGTGGTTCAGTCTCATGGTAAGGAAATGGCACAGTCACCTTACTGGTTTTCCCCCAACTGAAACCTGAAGTCAGAGGTCACAAAAAACAGTGTCTTCAAGGGTCAAGTAGATAAGACATATAAGTGTAGTGAGCCACATGTGAAAACCCACAGCACTCTTGGGCTTTTCCCACTTCAGGTTAAGCATGGATACAAAGAAATACTGCTCTTTTGGTAAGAGGAACAACAGAGGAGGTTGGCTAATACTTGAAAATAAATGCTTTGCTTTCATGTGGGGGAGGCAATAAGGGGTGGTGAGGACAGTGGAAAAATGTCATCATGTGGCCATCATAAATGGATAGTGATGGCTAGTCAGTTCTAGCCAATGAGGGCCATGTGGGAATGTGAGCCCACTGTCCAGATCTTATTTTTTTTCAGCAATTTCAGAAATATAGACTTTTCCATATGAAATTTAACAATCTTAAATATTGGCTAAATAAATAAAAATGCCTCATGTATTTTTTAAACTTCTCTGGACAAAAATAGAAGCATAAGTGAGATTGGTACTAGAAAAAGAAAGCTCAAACCCTGTTTAGCTTCTAAATAGGGTAGTCTGCTCAAATTTTAAAGGGCAAGGAGTACATGCACATATCCTCTGGTACCAATCTTCAGTCCTGGGGAGGGCTGCAGATGCTGTCTCTGAATGTAAAAGTCTCCTAAGGAATACCAACTCCTTGGTGACTCCGGGCCTTCCTTTCATCTACTTGGGGCCATTCCAGTTCCCCAAGCCACCTCCCAGACCTGTCTATTCTTAGCACACCTGCTACAATTGAAATGCAAGGTGCTGCCTGTCATGAGAAACTGATGAGAACCTAACCCTTCCTTTACAACACTGTTGAAGATGCACTACTATCCTGTGCCCCAGGACTCTAGTATATTCATGTACCAACTGTCCAGCACAATTCTAGCTCCAGAAACCATGGTGTATTTTGATGGAGAAAATAAAGCAAGTGACTAACCAAATTGCCCATCACTGAAAACTCCTTCATTGAAATGTCCAGTATGTTTGGAATCTTTTTCTACCTAAATCACACAAATGGCCAGATGGAAGGCTAAAACATTGACTGCTCAGAAGTTGTAAATTCCCTCAATAGTGAGTTGATTTGAAGAGAAGGGATAGCAACCCTGTCAATTTCCCCTGAGAACTCTCTGTCTAGTTCCAAGGATCATGGTGACCCATCATGCCCAAGGAACAACCTCAACACCCTTCAGAAACAGGTAGGTGACCTGTGGTATGCCTACTGCCAACACACTGTGACAACTCACATAGAGTCCACCTTCATTCCGGCTGATGTCACAGAATGCCCTCCCTCAAAGACTGTGAGCACAGACAATGTGGGTGTGAGGCTTCTTTATTAGCTACGGCTAAATAGGAGTGAAGCAGGGACACTTGGAACATGAAGGATGCCACACAGGAGACACTTTCTTAGGACACAGTCTGCAGAAGAACAACTGCTGATTCATGACACTCAGGAGGACTTCTAGGGAGTGGGATGGAAATCAACAACTGTTTCTGGGAGGCAGAACAGAATTCCAAGGGAGAGGGAGGAGATCGCTGCCCTGGGTGGAAGTCTATCTCTGAGCTCCAGGAGGCACAGGATCCTTATTTAGTTCTTAAAAAATTAAGATAAGAGGAAAATAGCCTTCTCAGGAAAAAGGGGGTGAAAAAAAAGGAGGAGGAAAAATACAATTGCTCTTTTCGAGGTACCTTAAAGAAGCACCCAGACAACTTGGCCAACTAAGAGACTTGGACAACCCTGTCCTGCTCTTCAAACAAATAAACACTGCTGAGGAAGGCCTGGCCAACGGGAGGTGCAGGACACAGGGATGGGGGAGGCAGGATGCAAAAAACGATCGCATTTCCTCCCAAGGAGAGCCAGGCCACTGCTGACATCCTGCCCACCCCCTCCTGCCATCCTGAGAGCTGCTGCCCAAGCCGGGGAACCCTGAGGCTTTCAGGGGCTTTTATCGTATTAGAAGCATTTTTCTCATCATAACTGAGACCTTTAGTATTGCATTAAAAAATGGTTAATTTTCTTAAGCTTCCTTTTAAACACAGAAATAGGATTAGAAGGATAACACGCTCAGATGCAAGCCCATTATTTGATTATGTCTAAACCTAATCCTGCCTTCACCTTGGCCTGCAGAGTCTCCATTTTGGGGTTTATTGGTTGATAATGCCAGGGCTGTCAGATACTATTACTTGGGTAGTATCTGTTGCTACGTGATCCTTCTTCCACTATCAAATGCTGAAGGTCTGAAATTGAATTACGGGGGGCAGTTCTCAAAGGGTTGCCATCTTTTGGACCTTCATGCTTATCTCCAAGGGAGGAAGGAATGGTCCAGGCCTCCAAAGAGTGGAGGCTTTCTCCAGTAAATTCATTTCCAATAATGCTTCAGGAGAAAAAGAAAAAAAAAAAAACCTTATAAACTAACCTCCCTTCTGTTAAACAAGCTATTTTTTCATGTTATGAAGGATGAGGGAAAACGGTATTGATGTTAATAAAAAGATCAGAAGCAGCAGCTGCAGGTGACCATTCTCTACCCTATTACTTTTCCTATTATACTAAAATTATTTGTCACATCATCTCCCTGAGGGTGGGAACAATGTCTTGTTGATACCCAGTGACAAACACAGCTCCCGGCCCACAGCTAGTGTTCAATAAATGCTTGCCTAACTGAACCAAGAATTCGTACCACCTCTTGATGACACGCAAGCAGACATACCCTCTTGGTGGAGAAGTAAAAGGCACTCCTAAATCTACCCATTTGTAAGACAGGTTTATGGCAAATTTAAGCTCCCCCTCCCCGCCCAATCCTCCTCTCATCCCTCCCTAGCCCAGCAGCTTCTAAGGCTCTTTACCTGTCGCAGTGGTTGCATTTAAAGGGCTTTGCACCTGTGTGTTTCCTGTAGTGCCTCGTGAGCTCATCACTCCGTGCAAAACGCCACTCACATCCTTCCCATGAGCACTTGTAAGGCTTCTCACCTGCCGAAGAGAGGGAAAGACCAGGGTCAGTGACGTAACCTCCTACAGCTGATCCGGGTGTGCTGCCTGATGGTCAGTCTTAGAAAAAGCCTGTATAAATCATTCTCAAAAGGCTAGATTTCCTAACAGGGCACATCACATTTTTTTTAAAGTCTCTTCATTTTGTTTTGTTTTGTTTTTTTAAACCTTCAAACATGGTTTCACAAGATCTTCAAATCTGAAGCTGTCATTTCAGTGCTCAGAGTCAGAGCATTTCCTTTGACTTGTGAAGGATCAATTTTTATTTATTTTCTATTCCCCGGAACACTTTGACCCCCCACAGTCCAAGCAGAAAGAAAATGTGCTATTTTCACCGGAACCACAAATGCTTCTGATTCTATTTTTCTCTAGAATCTACGGTAATTTACCATTTTGGGATTTTTTAGTCTCCTCCGTCCTCTCCCCTTCTACCACAAACCATAGCCAGGTAAGCTGATTGACAGGACCAACAGCCCAGTAAGACAGGTTTATGGCAAATTTAAGCTCCTCGTGCCTTCCAGTAAGTGTGAGCGAAGAAGGGACAGGCAGGAAGGAGGAGCATGATTTGAAAGCAAAACAAAAATCACTTGATGAGTCCTGGAATTTTTGGAAAATACTGTCACCAAAGTTCTGGTTAGGAAACCATAACTTAATGACTCCAGTGCATCCATATTATTACACAATATTTTAGAAGTCAATTTGTAGAGCAAGGTTTCAGCCACAGGGTAGCTGCTTAGAAGCATGAAATTTGAGTACATGTGCTCAAGTGACCTTTCACAGGAGAAATACAGATAAAGGAATATGAAGAGAAAGACATAACTTTGCCTGGGACCTTCTTTAAAAAAAAAAAATTCCTTTTAACTCATCATGTGTCTGTCACCAAACATGACAAATATTTGCTCTTCCAATTGTGTCGTGGACTGGTTCTAATTAAGAAGAAAAATAACGTTTAAAACCCCCATGAAATCATGAAACCGAGGCCCTGCCACCCAAAGGCAAGTAAGCACAGTGGTTAAGGTCTCCCAAGCTACCTTTCCAAGGTTCAGCTTGCTCTTCTGCCCCTACGGGTCTAACCTTGGGCAAAGTTGAGTAAGCCTGGGTAACGGTCTAACCTTGGGCAAGTTTAAACCTTTCTGTGCCTCACACACAAGTATGTACCTCAAAATGTTTGGAAAGGATAAATCAATATGCATACACATTGTATATTAATTAGAACAGTGGCTGGCACATATGAGATTCAAATAACTGGTACATTACACACTGCATAACTTGGTATTTCAGGATACAGAGGTGCCAAACGATGGATGGAACATTATTTCTCCATTTTTTAATAGCTAAATCTTCACTCTGCAGCCCTTAAGAAGATATTACCAGTTACTATACTTGACCTACTTTCTTCTTTCCACCTTTCTCTTCCCTTTAAACTTGACTACAAAGCATTCACAGTCCCTATTTGTATCACCTAGAATCAAACCAAACATGCTCGAAATTTTTATTTCATTAAATTGGTGCCCTAGTGAGCCACTGCTCTGTAAGACCCACAGAGAAGAGGAATGAGACACACAGACGTTTCTTTTAAAGAGAACCAGGAGGACATGAAGGAGGGTTGGAAGCCCAGGAGGAAACCCATTCATTTTTGGAAACCTGGGGGGGAAAAAAATGAATCACAGAGCCGTGTTAAAAGGTCACCTTCTGGCTCCTTACAGCCAAAATTGTACAAGAGATTGCACCTGCTAAAGTTAAGGTAGATGACTGGAGGTGTGACATCAGTTTTGTCATCAGCATACTTGGGACCTTGCTCAATTTCTTATGGACTCTAGACCTTAGTGTCTTTATCTGCTAAATGGGGGTAGGTCTATTCATAAACGTGTATTTATTATGAGGTCTAAGTAAGTTGTCATGCACAAGATTATGTCTCTTGAGCCTGGAACCCAGCAGGTCTTCAGTTAATCTCAATTCCCTTTCCTCCCCCTATGTTTGCAGGGGCTGTTAGGGAGAAAGGTCTAATTAGCTGTCAATAAAAACTTTAAGAGCTCATGGCTCCAGACAAGTCTGGAGTCACTTGGGGCAGCCTAAATATTGGAAAACAGGGAGACCTTTTTAAAAGTTTTTAATATTTTCTTAGTACATGGAGGGAGAATGGATCTGAAAAACTGAGTGTTCTTTAGGTCGGTGCTGAATAAGAGGGTTAGTGAAAGGGAATTAATGGACCCCGGTGCCCTCTCTGACAGACATGTTGGCATCATTTACTTAATGCCACTGATCACCCACAAGGTTCTCCTATTTTCAGTGGATCTGGCACAAAAAAATAGGTAAATAATAATGAGAACGAGACACCTAAGACTTCAGAAATTCAAAATGCTGTCCATTCTCAAAGATGTTCAAATATAAATAAAACTATGGTTTCCTGGCACCTCAGGAACCAAACATACCCCCAAGTGCAACAAGGGTTCCCGGGAAATCCCATGAAACTCTACACCAACAAGCAGAGACATCCAGTCCCCAAAATCAATCCCACAATCGAACTGACCCATCCATCACAGGAAACCACATTTTCAAGGGCACAGGAAGGACAGAGAAATTAAAGGAGATTGAAGTGAAGGTCTTTGAATATTTCTTTCAATTCAAACTATTTGCTTTTCCTTTTGCCAAATTCTTTTAACCAGTCTTGTTTTGTTTTATTTTGATAAATAACATCAAGGTTTTCGTCATTTCCCAGAAAAATGTTGCAGATGCTTAGTTAATTCCCAGCACACATCGACTATCCTGTCCAGGAGCTATGTCAGTGTCCTTCCAGTGGCTGTTTCCCTTTGGCCACCGCGGAGGGAGAAACTGCAGACAGCTGACGTGGCTCACGATCTTATCACGTTACACTGTTTTCTGTTTGTGGCCAGGTGCTACACAGAATAATACAGAGGACAGGCCCCTTTGTGCCCTGATATTTGGTCAAGTTATACTACAGTGATCTATCAAGCTACTCTTCCAGTGTCTATTCAGTTTATCTTTAAGATGCCATTTCTGCAAATACTCACTAATAAAAAAGTCAAAATAATCAAAAACTAACTGGACAACTGAAGGAGTAGTGCCTGAAACAAAGTTCAGAAATCAGAGGAACAGAAAAAAAATATGGGATTGGAATATGACTTCATATTTAGGGCACAGGAGTAGTGGGTTTAGGTTCTGTGCCCAGTCCCATCAACCAATTTCTCTTGGTGAGGCAGATCGGTGAAATTCTTCTTGATAGTATTTTCAGTATGGGCAAAATGGCATGTCTCCGTGGCTTGATCTGAGGTAGACCCACCTCTAGCTGCAAAGCATTAGTGGCCAACTTAATACCCCACCTAAAGATTTCTGCTCGTTCTGCATGTGGCTTGGGTTTCTTTCTTTATAAAACAATTTCTTGGCAGGTGCAGGGGCACATGCCTGTAATCCCAGTGGCTTAGGAGGCTGAGGCAGGAGGATCATGAGTTCAAAGTTAGCTTCAGCAATGTAGTAAGGCACTAACAATTTAGTGAGACCCTGTCTCTAAATAGAGTTTTAAAAAGGGCTGGGGATGTGGCTCAGTGGTTAAGCACCCTTGGGTTCTATCCCTGGTATCAAAACAAAAAAAGGAATTTCTTTATTTAATAAAGAAAAGAAGAAATGTGTCCTATCTTTATGAGACAGAGAGAGAAAGTGAAGTGTGGGGTGGCAGGTCAGTTGTAACTAGAGCTGCTTTCCTGAAAAATCAGCCCTTCCCCCTCTACCTTCTCCTTCCCTCTCTCTTCTTCTCCACTCCAGGTACTCTTCCTGGGGATAAAACAGACTATCACCCCCTGCCCAACTTTTGTAATGACACACATTCAGCCTGCTGCACCTCAAGAATGAACACAAGCGTTCCAGAGTGGTCTATGTGAGGCAGGCAGAGAAGAGAGACTTAAAACAGTAGGAGTCCAGTCCCCAAGCTGTGATGCATTAATTGAATGAAGGTGAGCCCTTCACCAAGATGGTGGATGAGTGGCATGGTATTCTGCCCAGTTCACCATGCTAGAGGTGGACACTCTCTCCAGAACCTCCTGCATTTTAGGGAGGATATTGAGAACCCCTTTTCCTGCCTGGCAATCACCTTGGGAAACTTGTTTCCCTTGGGGAGTTAGGGGAGGACGTGCCACCTCAGAAGTGACAGTAGGTCTAATCAGGTGTAAATGGATTTACAGCCAGATGAGGGCTCTTGAGGAGAGGCAAAGGGTGCTTGAGAAACATGACTGACATTTAGCGAGGTTGAATCATAGCAAGAATTCACACTCTCCCACAAAATGGATCTGAAATGGAGTGTGGTCTAAAGCACGGTGGCATTTTTTGAGTTTCTGACAGGGTCATTCGCCCTAAATCGTGATCATCCGATTTGATTGATCAGACAACACTTTCATAAATATTTTCTGAGCATGCACCTCCAATGTATGTAGATTTATTCATGAATTATATAAATGTGCTAATGCTCCAGTATATTAGAATATTATAAAATGTACATTCAATGGAGCAATTAAAAAGAATGAGGGCAAATTAAAATAGAAGTTATATATTTTTCTTCTTGCACTCAAAAAGATCATAAACTAAACATAAATAGAAGTTATATATTTTTCCTTTTGCACTCAGTAAGATTGTGTTGCACAACCTGCTTCTGAGGCCAGTGCCCTGTGGGATAAATGGATGGGGCTTTGCTGCTGGCCCCATCTGACCAGTCTCTGCGCTCCCACAGTCTATTCTCCCCACAGCAGTCAAATAATCCTATGAAAATGTAAATCATAGCATGTGTGTCCCTTTCAGGGACTTTAATATATTATATATCCATATAATTGATTTCTTTGACATTCCCTGGATTTTATTTTATGCATTCAAAAACATTATCCTGCAAAAGGTACCAGAAGGCTTCACCAGACTGTGAAGAACACTCACAACTCAAAAAAGGTTAAGATGAAATAAAAGTGTAAATGCTTCCTGTA